TAAATTCTTAACCAAGCCGCCCTGGAAATCCAAGGGGCACAGCAATACTTGAAGGGAACAAGTCAACTGATCGAATGACTAGGAATGAAAAACTACTGTCGGGGAAGTTCTGGAAACCACGGAAGATGCTGATGACGGAATCAGAGGTTCGAAACCGCTTTGAAACTGCTTCGAAACACATGTCCATCCTCCTTCTCCAGCCTCCTCCCCCCTAGAAACTCTAAAAAATGAATAGGTTCCACCCCTCAGTATGACGGCGCTTGAAAACATATTGATTTGCAAAAAAAATGGTACAACCCTGTTTGCCATACATCCTTGATTGTAATTATATAGGCTGCATGCCATTCTGCCCTGGAATTCCGAGGGCTATACTCCTGCGCAAAGTTACCCCAAATCATGCGCTTAATTTAAGGATAGGTGCTTGCATCCATCGAACCAAAGGCCTTAATTAAGCATAACGATCCAACGACGCATTTCACCACTAGTTCCCCCGACTCTGGGCTGCATATCTTTTTCACTGCCCATCTCTAGATCCGGTGGTGACTGCATGTCCCCTGCAGCTGAAAGTCCCCACCGCAAAGAAGATTCTCAATCCACATTGCTGTCGACTGTCTCGGGCACTTCCACCGCTGCGGCACGTGCTCCGGCACGGGTATGAGCTGCGGCTTGGCGGCACTTTTTGCAGCTGGCGCCGTATGCCTTGCCCTGCTTGTTGAGGTACCAAGACAGTGGGTCCCTCCACAATCCTTGCTGCGGCAGGCAGCTGCTGGGTTATGTGGAACAAACTATTCTTGCCCCGGTCTGAAAATAAGAATGGACATAGCAAAATTTCTGCCAAGAAGGCGCAGACACCGGATTGCGCCCATCAAGGTTGATGAAACACTCTGCAGAAGCAAAACCACTCCTTGGACATGACAGTTGCAGGTTCGTAGCTCGAGGCTCTTGGCACCCGACAGCACCTTCTGCATCCACTTTCCTTGCAAACTAAGTGCTGAGCCATGTATAGCCCTAGGAACCAGCTCTGATTGTGTGGCCCTGGCCGACTGTGTCATCTTGTTTTTTTCCGTGTTCCGATCTTTCTGCTTTCTGCAAGCCTTTGCAAACTTTTTGCCACTTCTTCCTAGCTTTCCATCCTTGGTACTTGCAGCAGAAATGGCCGGCTGCTGCTTTCCATACAAACGACGTGTAGGCGCCACCGGAACCATGGGACACTCCAGAAGTTTGGAAAAGGTTTCAGAATCTAGGACGAGGGTTTTCTATTTTTTTTTATAAGATTTGGATGTGCAATATACACAAGAGCTTGAGCAATATGATCCACCAAAATCATGATGGACAATCTCTTAACATTTGGGTATATTGCACTTCGTTATGAAATATAATGTTCTCAATGCCCTGTCAATCTGCGGGAATGCCTGCCCTCATGCTCTGTTGTAAACCGGAGTTTGGATCCCCACTGCGGATGGGTACGAAATGTGTCTATGCGGAGACGCGTTCACCCTGGCAATCGAGGGGCAGTGCAGCTGGACAGCGATATTCGAATAGAAAAATCCTACGAGCAAAATATGATAACAAGGTGCTTTCCCTGGAAGTCCGAGGGTCAATAGAAGAAATAGCTTCCATCCCCTCACCGACCAAGCATGGCCAACCTAATCCATCCACCCGCAGCACCTCGATCCATGCATTGTCATCCGTTGACTAGGAAGAACAGACCACCTGCGAAACAGTTCTGGCGTTCACGGAATCTATCGGTTACCTGCAAAAAACTTTCAAAAAACCTGCAAAACTTGAAGTTCCACCTCTGAGGGGGACCAACCTTCAAAAAACTTCAAAAAACTTGAAGACAGGGACCAACCTTCCAAAACATGAAAAAACTTGAAGTTCCACCTCTGACAGGGACCAACCTCCATTTACAATTACAACAATTTTCCCATTTGAAACCAGTGTTGGTGGAGAGTTTGAAGCAATGAAGCTCTTGACAGAATCAAAGGGTCATGGACCAAGCAAGACACATTGTTTTGTAATCTCAAAACCCCCAACAAAACCTCCAACAAAACCTCTCAGTTTGAAAACAGTTCAAAACCATGAAACCAGTTTGAAATGTCCATAAGTTGCGCTTGGCAACCATCTTACCACATGAGACGAACTTATGTAAAATATACTCGTTCCTCGGACAAGAACTTAGATAGCAACAGACTATACCGTCAGCCATGGAGAGATGAACTAGGCTAGACTATTATACATGCTACATGGGGGCTCAGGGGTCGATATATCTCAACTTAAATTAGTCATAATAGATTTATTAATATAGTAATATGTTTCCAGGTTATCCTGATGAGCTGGAGATACAAATACAAGCTAGTCATCCCTTCCTATACGCCTTGCAAATTGGTGCAAAAGGACCCTTAGCTTTCGAACTCTAATGTTGGTTCCATTCTGTGGTTCCCATATCCTGGTTGGTTCTGAAAGATTGCCAGAATGATATGCAGAAAAATTGTCATCGGACATGTGTTGAGTGTTGCTGAGAAAAACTATGGACCATGACCCCTTCTTGTCAAGCTGCATCCCGAACCCAAACGGGCAATGCAAGAAACCGTGGAATGACGACGATCTATCCCATACAAGAAGAGATTCGATTGATAATTATTCCGAAGTACTTATATACCTTTAAGAGCCCCGGAATTCCACGGGCTTCATTGAAACTACACAGAGCAACGACACGCCATCAGTAAGAAGACATCGGATACGTATTGGCCATATCTTCTGTCATCGTTCACGCCACTACCTCTGGCCCCTTCAGTAGCACATGCTGCCCACAAGTTTCCTCAAAGCCCCTGTGGCACAGATCACCAGGCGCCTTAAGCTAATAGAAGCCATTCGAAGCCAACACTGCTGCACCTGCAACGGCAGGAAGACAGAAAGCAGCTTGTTCGGTTGCACATGGGTGAACAGCATTTCAGCGTCACGTGGTTTCAACAACAAAGAAACAACCATACTGCATATACACCAAAGAAGTTGGGCCCCAGTTGCTTCCAGTTGCAGGAGATTAGCCCATTTACAAATGCATGTGTTACTGACACCTCCATGCAAATTTGATTTTCCAATTTTAAATTTGGATCAGCTGTGAAAACTCCTTGGAAACCACTTGGAAACCACTTTGAAGCCCTAGGAAGCGGCAGCTCCCAAGGGACGCGATTTTAACAAGCCCTGGAATTCCAAGGGCGAAGAAAACTACACACTTAAAAAGAGTAGCATCGATTTGGGGATGGTTACCAAACTGATTGTCTTGCATGGCCCCAATTCATGCAACCAGGAGAGGCCTTTGCCGATACTTTGCCCTGACATAACGCGCCTGCAGCTTCTTGATTCTTTGCTTTCAAGGGGCCTTTGCGGCAGGTGGGAATTGAAAGTGAATCTAGGATGATCTAGGTGCCCCTTGTATGATCCATAAACATCCGAATATGTAGTTCATACTGCGGCTACAATGCCTCTATTCAAAATCATAGAGTTAGGAACCGCAGGAACCCGAAAACCGACACGTAGCAACGAAGACATGCTCTAAATGAACCGTACGCGCTTGAGGTTAGGTTCTTGTGGGACCGCACCGACCAAAATGAAACCGAACCGTGGTAATGAACCGAACCGTACCTGTTGAAGGTTAGGTTCTTGTGGAAACGAACTGGCCTGAATGGAACCGAAACGTTGCTGTAACCGAAACGTACCTACATTAAGTTAGGTTCTTGTGAAACCGCACCGACACGAACCGTGGCCATACTGTAATTACTGGGATTGATTTCTTCGAGTGAAATATTGGTGTTTATTGGTTGCGGTAAGATGTTTCAGGACTAATTCCAATCAACTTCTTTGGGGAAAAAAAACTGGGCCAGGTTTTAATCCAAGATGTATAGTGGGCCAGGGTTTCATCCGGGATGTATAGTGGTATGTTGTGCCACCCAGTGGGGAACCTAACTGAATGGGGATAATTGTGCCACCAACTCCGAAGGCATCGTCCAAGTAATTGTCATAATTGATTTTGATATATTTTAAGGTGGATCGTGGTTTAGAAGTCCCTGGGCAAAACAGTTGAAGGGACTGGTCAACGCGATTGGTTTCACCCCTCAGTTACTCCAGACGACGGCTTTGTGAATCTTGTGAACAAGTTAAGGGATAAATATAATATATATATATATATGTTATTCTCTTCCCCCTCAGGATAAAAATAATAAACACCCGGCCCAGAGACCCGGGTTCAGGACTTGATTTGTTCATTTTGGGGTCCCAAGAATTGAGTGAGAAGAATATTTGTCAGGGATAAAAATATCTATTTGTCAGGAGGATGAGAATATGTCTTCATCACGCAGGGGAGGTTGAATGCAACCAGACCTGGTAGTCACATACTTTCCCTGCATCAGCTGTGGCCAACCCCTTGTGGATATCGCGCAAATACTGGTTAGCATATGTTCGCGTATTGTGCCTGTTCCTGTTCGGTCACTGCATTATTTTGGATCATCCATAGTGATCAATCCCTGGTAGAGAATGTGGTCTTTCGCTCCGTGGATTTGACAATCATCCCATCATATGGATTGACATGGGAGTTTCTTAAAAATCAGGGACCCCAATAATCATTCAAAATTGAGACGGAAACCAATAGTTATGGAGTTACTCCAATCTTTTAAAACTCCCATCTTCCATCAGCCAGAGGTAGCACTGGGAAGTTGATGCCTGCTGCATTTGACTCGACTCTTCTGGCCGGTCCCAGGTGGATCTCCGGGTCACTCTGTTCCAGTAGTAGTACATGCCTGGTCGCTGGTGGCCAGGACGGTTCGGGATACCCGCTGTACAAATCGTGGCAATGGGGGGTTCCTAAAATGGGGGCGCCCCCAAATCATCCGAAATTTGACAATGACTTAGTGTTGAAACCTATTTTTTGGGGGATCACCCATTTTAGGAAACCTCCATACTCAGCCTGTGACATGATCAATTCCTTTTGCCATGTGCAGCCCGCCTCGCTCCACGTCGTAAACTCTCTGCCAGTCCTGGCGACGCACCAACCTAGAAACTGTTCTTAAACTGGGATGTAAACCCAGCGATGGTAAGTATATGTGATATAAGAGTGGTGAACTACAATGGGGAATCATATGATATTCCTTCTTCGTAATCTTGAAGTTTGAAACCTCAGCCGCTTGCACGTTGGATTTCCGTCCTGGAACACTGTCTACTTCCAAGTCAATTTTGCCGGAGAGTACTTGTTTTGACAAGCGGTGGGAAATGTTAAATTCTCATGGTTTTCTGTAGACCTTCAACAAAAAAGGCAACTGATTTAGCAAGGTACAACAATCGTCCAGTGTTCTGAAAAATTGCAGGTCCAGTCAAAACAAATCCTGAAGCCAAACCATGTGCCTTCCAGAAATCTCAGCCATGTCCGAAATCCCAACAAGAATCGTAGGTATTCTCAGATATTCTCAAGTCATCTTGTGTGTAGTTCCCCCAAGCTTAGCTCCCTCCGGCCTTTGGAAGCGTGTTATCTTCTTCTGGCTCGCCGACCTTTGGGCGTGTCCACTTGGACTCCTTGCTCACATGGTTCCAGAAGTACCACTCCTGGTGGTAAGGGTCAAAAGCAATCGTTGACAGGAGATCCATCTGGGAGATTGATACTATCTATCTATCTATCTATGTATGTATGTATATATATATATGTATGTCTAATATATATATATATATTACATATATAATCATATATGAGTTATGAGGATCATCTAATGCTAGCCTGTTTTTCCACCAATATTCAAGACTTCTCCAGGAAAATGGGAGATTCTGGGATGATCTAGGCAGCTGTCCAGCCATGTCCAGCCCCATCTGCAGCTCCTGGTACTCCTCGCACCACACCTTCTTCCATCCCACTGGAAGGAGCTCCTCAGCTTTTGTTGGGTCGAACATGGTCGAACTATCTCCACCTTTAAAAGGCCTATTTTTTGTATCACGATGTGTGTTGCATCCAGACTTTTGTAAGGAAAAAACACAAAGAGTCGGTTTTGGAATAAGTTCTATTTATCCCATTTTTTTGTAAAATCTTCAGATTCAAACATCACGACCGATCCAGCGCCTCCTCCTTCACCGCCGGTGCTGGAACCAATGGCTGGGGCTGGGCCGGCTGCACGTCGGCTGCGCCAAGACCCTGGAAGATCGCATGAAATGTATGTGGTCATGCCAGAGTAGATAGAATATGATATAACTCAAAAAACTCACTTACTTTTTATTGGAAAAATGTTTGCATATTCCACATTCTATCTACTTCAGGACTGTATATGACCATTATATATATATATGATATATATATATATGTGTGTAATTGTGTAACACTTGATATAGAAAGAATGTTATATGATGATGTAATACGTATATACATGTCGACTTATTATTCATACATAATTCTTATATATCCAGGTCCCAGGAGGATATCTGTCTGTCGTGTGTTATTGTATATAGGATAATGTGTGAAATCCCTAGTGTAATATTGACTCTTGTCTCCAGTTTACTACCTTAGAGAATAATTTACAAATCCCTACCCCTATAGAGGGGGAGGGGGGGGGACAAAACCAACCTGTCGAATTCAACTTTTTTTTGCTTGGAAACCCTGGGATAGTGATCCAATTGCTCAAATGGAATTTTAAAGTAACATTTCTTGACAAGCCTTGGGCACTGGTTAGAAAATACTTGCGCTTAGCTGGAGGAGCTAAGCGCAAGTATGATGATGGCAACGCAATTTTTGGAGGGATGCCACCCCTACACATGTGCTGCTTCAGTCTGACATGTGCTTGGCTCCTCCGGAGCTAAGCGCAAGTATTTAATTTTCATCTGTTTGCCAATGATATTATATGGAATGACGAGGAATGTTGATCATTGAGAAAAATCAATGCAAAAATTGAATTTTAAAATGAAATTTGAGTACGACTCCCCCCCCTCAAATTTCATTTTTAAGAGGGTAGAGATTTTACAAGACCTTTTTAGTTGTATATAACAGTTTGATACAGTTTGAAGATCTTGCATAACTTTTATCAACTTCTACTGCAGGGTCATTTCCCATGTTTTTGCGGGATACGGAAGCGCTTCCATGCCGGATCGGATGCTGGGACCGGTCGCAAGCCTCCAAGGGGACTCTATGAGATCGTCGTTAAAAACAGGCTGGTCAACATGAATGATCTCAAGTGGCCTGGTTTGCTGATGCTACCACCCAAAACTGTACCCTTGGCAGCCTTGGTATATTATGGTTCCAACAGGTTCCAACATGTTCCATTCCTCACTTCATCTCACTTCACACTCCTCCCCTTGGCAAACTCATTCCCTTCCAGCAACCTTGGCATCGCGATACAGCATGAAGTGAACCTCCATTCCAGTCTCTGGAGTGCTGACACCCCTGCGGATCAGAGAGCAGTGTGGCTTTTGTCTGGGTGTCATTGAAAATCGGGGTCTTTACAATCTCCTAAAATAATCGTGTTGATCAGGATGAGGAGGATGAGGATGAGGATGAGGATGATTGCCATTATTATTATTATTAGTAGTAGTAGTAGTAGTAGCAGCAGTAGTGTATATATATCTATATATTATTATATTATTATTACAGTATTAAATACTATTTTATACTATTTTATCATTATTATTATTGTGTGTTTATCCGCCGACCCCTGCCGTCAGCAGGGGGAGCGCGTCAGAGGAGGCCTTACTAGCAACAAGATGCCAGAAGGGGCGAAGAGTTTGTGCAAAACGAAAGCCGGCTCCAGAAGGACACGAGCAGGGTGGCAGTTGGCAATGTAGAAACGCGGGAAAAGTCAAGGTTTGGAGCTAGTTTCTAGTCGGTTCAGAAAGTGACGTTTGGCAGTCTGGGATACGGGCCGCGGGCCCAATCCGTCCTTCACTGCCATGGTGTTTTAGCCCTGCGACACGGTCCTTGGACTCCAGCTTGGGCCGAAGCGGGGCAGAACGAAAGCCGGCTCCAGGAGGACACGAGCAGGGTGGCAGTTGGCAGTGCAGAAACGCAGGAAAAGTCAAGGGTTGGAGCTAGTTTCTAGTCGGGTCAGAAAGTGACGTTTGGCAGTCTGGGATACGGGCCGCGGGCCCAATCCGTCCTTCACTGCCATGGTGTTTAGCCCTGCGACACGGTCCTTGGACTCCAGCTTGGACCGAAGCGGTGCAGAACGAAAGCCGGCTCCAGGAGGACACGAGCAGGGTGGCAGTTGGCAGTGCAGAAACGCAGGAAAAGTCAAGGTTGGGAGCTAGTTTCTAGTCGGTTCAGAAAGTGACGTTTGGCAGTCTGGGATACGGGCCGCGGGCCCAATCCGTCCTTCACTGCCATGGTGTTTAGCCCTGCGAAACGGGTCCTTGGAATCCAGCTTGGATACGAAGCGGTGCAGAAACGAAAGACGGCTCCAGGAGGACCGGCGCAGGGTGGCAGTGGCAATGCAGAAACGCAGGAAAAGTCAAGGTTTGGAGCTAGTTTCTAGTCGGTTCAGAAAGTGACGTTTGGCAGTCTGGGATACGGGCCACGGGCCCAATCCGTCCTTCACTGCCATGGTGTTTTAGCCCTGCGACACGGTCCTTGGACTCCAGCTTGGACCGAAGCGGTGCAGAACGAAAGCCGGCTCCAGGAGGACACGAGCAGGGTGGCAGTTGGCAGTGCAGAAACGCAGGAAACGTCAAGGTTTGGAGCTAGTTTCTAGTCGGTTCAGAAAGTGACGTTTGGCAGTCTGGGATACGGGC